CCAGTGGTGCCCCTGTGAGTTGGCTGTGGCTGCAGAGGGCCTTGGCACACATTAGGGCCCTGGTTCTAACAAGCCTAGCAGGTAGGTCTGTTGTCATCCACGCCTTCTAGATGGAGAAATTACACAACTTGCCCAACAGCATGGAGTCTGTAAGTGGCACAGCCAGGATTTGCACCCAAGTGCTTTGGCTCCCCAGCCCACACTCTTAACTTCAGATATGCTGAATCTCCTGACACTTACATCTTAAAATCTAACCTTACTTATCTTCTCCGAAACCAACCACGTTTCTCTATTGTCTATTTTTTTTCTTTAAAGGTTTTATTTATTTATTTGACAGACAGCGGGAGAGCGAACACAAGTGGGGGAAGCGGGAGAGAGAGAAGCAGGCTTCCTGCTGAACAGGGAGTCCAGTGAAGGCTCGATCCTCGGGGCCTGAGATCATGACCTGAGCCAAAAGCAGACACTTAATGACTGAGCCACCCAGGCGCCCCCCTTGCTTGTCTATCTTTGTTCCAGTCCCGTTCATAGGACCTAAAGTAGAAAGGGCACACAGAGGCTTTCAGCGTTCCTACCAGTTGGCTTTCCCATCTCTGCTTGCTGGAGTCAGAGGAATGCTATTCCTGAAACCTTCCTTCCTATCTCCAGGTAGACTTTTCGATAGCTCTTTTTTACTGAAACAAAACCAAGAGAAGGATTTTTTTTTTTTTTTTTTTAAACTCCACAGGATGGGGCACCTAGGTGGCTCAGTTGGTTAAGTGTTCGATTTTTGATTTTGGCTCAGGTCATGACCTTGGGGTCATGAGACTATGCCCCGTGCTGGAGCCTGCTTGAGATTCTCCCTCTCACTCTGCACCAGACCCCCACTCCTGCTTGTGCATGAGTGCTCTCTCTCTAAAATACCCCAAAAGCCAAAAAACAAACACCACAGGAAATTTTTATGCACAGGTCCGGTTTTAAAAAACATGGTGTATGTTCCATAAATACTTGTTGGATGAATAAATGATTACATTCCGAGTATGACTACCTCAGGTTCGAATAGTCATGATCAAATACTGATTCCTAATAAAATTTTTGCTATACACAAAAATACCTTTTTTTTTTTTTTTTTGTAACTAGCAATTGCTAGCCACATGCGTGAATTATAAATAAGTCCTACAGTGGAGGAGATTATAATTTTATTTTCCAAGGCACCTAGGTTCAAAACTTTAAGGGCCATTTTCATACTCATTAATGCTTCTGTGTTGCCAGACTTAAGCCCTGTAGTCAGCTCTTGTCAGTTTTGCCTTCAGAACCTCTCCTGAATCTGTCTCCTCAGCTGTTTCTATCAGGCTTTACAGCACCTGAGGCTTCAGTCTCAGTCTCCTCCATCCGCTGCAGTGCTATCACTTTATTCCTAAATGATCGCCGAGAGCGTATCTAAGTCCTGCTCGTGAGCCCCGAGTGCTGCCAAATCCTTAATTCCAGACTCTTTACAGTTTGCTCCTGACCGACCTCTTCAATATTTACGTTTGCATCCGTACATTCATTCATTTGACATCTACCACAAAATGTCTACCAAGGACAGTGAGGAGTTGAAGGTAAGAGTAAGGTGACTGAAACAGTTCCTAAGGAGCTTAGTCTTTAAGAGGGGAAATGAAATATGCACAGAAAAAGCTCCAACATAAGGGACAGTAAGCGCAGTGACTCCCCAGAGGAAAAGTGTACGGGGAGTCAGAAGGTAATTCTGACTGGAGGGTCAGGATATCTTGGAAGAGGCGGCATGTGATTAGGTCTTGAAGGCAAGGCAGAGCTTCAACTGATCAAAGAGAACAAAGATCACTACAAAAACACAAGCACAGGAAGAGCGGTAAGAGTGTAAGGGCCAAGTTTGGTTTCCACACAGTGCGTCTAATGCAGACTAAGAGGTAGAGCCGAGAAGGGAGATTTAGGGCTAAATCCTGGACAATTATGAATGCTTGACCAAAGGTTCAGACTTTGGTATTTATTCATTCAGCAAGTATTTATGGAGTAAGAACAACAGGCCAGACTGCGGGGACAGGGCTGGGGATGAAGTGGAGAGCATGACAGACACGATTCTGGTCCTTCTGCAGCTCACGCTCTAAAGTGAAGGAGATAAAGATCCATTAAAGATGCTGAACCAGGGGCGCCTGGGTGGCTCAGTGGGTTAAAACCTCTGCCTTCAGCTCAGGTCATAATCCCAGGGTCCTGGGATCAAGCCCCACATCAGGCTCTCTGCTCAGCGGGGAGCCTGCTTCCTCCTCTCTCTTTCTGCCTGCCTCTCTGCCTACTAGTGGTCTCTGTCTGTCAAATAAATAAATAAAAAATCTTAAAAAAAAAAAAAAGATGCTGAACCAAAGGACAGTCCACATTAAAGTTGTACTTCAGAATACTTCAGATGTACTTCTGGCATCCATGTGTACTAATTACGTTGGGGAAGAAACAGAAAGGAGGCCATTTATTAATTAAGTACGAGGGATGAGGCCCAAGATGGGGCAGTGGTAATGGAGGACATAAAGGCGTGGAAGTTATGAAGGAGAAAGAGTATCAGACTCAATGCTTGAGTGGATGTAGTCAGAGGAGAGGGAAAGCAGGCAAGAGGGAGATGGAAAAATGAGCTCTAAGACTGGAAAAAAATCAGAACAGTGAGGACGGACTGGGAAGGGGTACGAGAATGCTATTTCTGATGATGGTGATGTCTATGTCCTGACAGAGGTTTGGTCACACAGGTATGTGCAATTGTCAGAACTCACCCAACGGTACACTAAACGTGTGTACATGTGAGCACAAGTAAATTCCACCAAAAAAAAAAAAAAAAAAAAAAAAAAAAAAAAAAAAAAAAAAAAAAAGCCCTGGAAACAAATACTGCACTTAAGTTAATGACTTGTAAGCTCAAGTGTTTGGGTGATGGGGAGTGTATGATAGGTATAAGTTCCTTCAAAATACATTATAAAAGATGGATTGACGGACGGACAGATGTGTGATAAAGCAAATAGCAAAATGGTAACTACAGAATTTCATTGGGTGGCATATGGTGTCCACTACGATTTCAAAGCTTTTTTTTTTTTTTTTAAAAGATTTTATTTATTTATTTGACAGAGATCACAAGCAGGCAGAGAGCGAGAAGGGGAAGCAGGCTCCCCGCCGAACAGAAAGCCCAATGCGGGGCTCGATCCCAGGACCCTGAGATCATGACCTGAGCTGAAGGCAGAGGCCTTAACCCACTGAGCCACCCAGGCGCCCCCGATTTCAAAGCTTTTTGTTTGAAAAATTTTATAATGAAGTATTGAGAAAAATTGTTCTAAGCATACAATTTTGAGTCTGGGTTGACCAGAAGGACACAGGGGACACAGAAGCAGATGGTGCAGGAGATGCAGGTTTGGGAGGCTGGATGATGAGCTAATCAGGGGCACAGAGGTCTGGGGAACCCACGGCATCCAGGTGGAAGTACTTATCAGGCAGTTAGAAACGCAGGACTAGAGTTCACTTGTCGTGCTGTGCGACTGCCTACACATCTTTCTGCCTTCTTGCATTCCCTTCCACTGAAATCCGTTTTCTTTGGTAAGCTTTCTCTGACCACCCTGCCCTCTTGCATTCAGCACTGTAAGATTAGTTTATGGCATTATTCATGTATTACTAGAATGGGAGTTCTCAGGATAAGCAGAATCTTAGACTATACATGATTTCATGAAGCAATTTTCAAATAAACAAATGCGTTAACACCTGACCTAGTATCCGACTATCTAGTTCTTTACGCTCACACTCATTCTTGGCTCAGAAGGTACAGTTTCGTTTTTAATTTCGGAGAAATACATACTTAAAAGGCACTCTTTGGGGCACCCGGGTGGCTCAGTCAGTTAAGCGTCTGCCTCTTGGTTTTGGCTCAGGTCAGGATCAGGGTCGTTGAGATCGAGCCCCTCCACAGTCAGAAGGAGCACAGAGCCTGCTTAGGCTTTCTTTCTCCTCCTACCTCTACCCCCGACCCTGTGTGTGCCCGCTCCCGAATAAATAAATCTTTAAAAAAAAAAAAAGGTACTCTTTGCAGTGGAAAACACAACTTGCACCTCAATCACAGACCGAAGTGAAACGGCCATTCCCAAATTCTTAATACACTTGACTTTCTCTTTAGTAGCTCCTCTTTCAGACTTTATCTGACATTTTATTTTGCAGAACTCTAAAAAAGGGAAGAAAATGGTTGTCCTTAGGTGGTGAAACTAACCTTTCTGACCTTTTTCCTTCCACGACTCTGAATTTCTAAATTTCTATAAAATTAATATACTACTTTGATAATGGGGGGGGTAGCTTATTTTTTACAGAAAACCTTTAATGACATGGTCACCAGTCCCTAAAGTACAGCTGCTAGATTTCTCGAGTTGCAGGAAAGAAGTTAAACCAAGGTGGCTGGTTTCTCCTTCTTATTGCCTCAGCAATCAGCGTGATCCCTAAGGTCAGGAGCTATGTCCTGCTCAGCTCTGCACCTTCTCCACCCACTGTAGCACTGGGCCCAGCAAACAGGAAGCACTCACATAGTGAAAGAACACACATTTGACACTTGGAAGCATACCAGTAAGTGACCCACGGAGGTTAGTGCAAAGCCACTAGCTTATCCCATGAACTTGGTCATTATTTTCCTCATTTTGAAGATGCGTTTCTCAGAATGAACTCAGAGAATACCTCTTCGTCTCTCTCAATTGCCCCAGGCAGACAGCGCTGCTCAGTGAAAGAAACCAAGTTTGGCTCCTTCTGTGAATTCCAAGTTCAACAGTATCCCTAAACTTACGCTTAACACGATGGGAGAACAACTCTATTAAGAAAACCCAGGAAAAATTAAGGTTGCTCCTGTCTTTGCACCGGAGAGACTCGGCCACTGGCCCTATTTTACATCTCACGTCATCCCATCAGATTGGCCTCGCCATGCTCCCTGCTGTTCACCTCAGCTGCCTAATTCTAAGTCTGTTTACTACTATCATCTCTTAACCACCACATTTTAAAAAATGGTTTACCTTTTCTCCTCTGTCTCTTTCTCTGTCTTTTTCCTCTTTTTTCTTTTTTTTCTCACCATGCCCGTCTGTGTGGAGGCTGGGCAGTGGCTGGGGAGGGGCAGCGGCTCCAGGGTGGGGGACGCTGGGAGGAGGGCCGGGTGCCACTGCGACCTCTCCCACGGTGGCAGCTGCGAGGCCTGAACTTCTCTTGGACTTGGAGTGCCGCCTCTCTTTATGCTTCTCCTTGTCCTTCTTCTTTTTGCTCTTCTTGGACTTCTTTTTCTTCTTGATTTCCCGGTAAGAGTCGTCGATGACTAACTCCCCAGCCTCTAGCTCCCCACCAGAGGATGAGTCCGATTCTACTAGAATAGGTTCCAGTCCTGAAAGATCAAGGTTAGCACTGTGGGATTCTGGGAACTGGGAGCCATCCGCCCCACAGCCTTCGGGGCCGGGAGAGGAACGCGGGTCTGAGGAGGACTTGTGCTTCTTCCTGGCTGTTTTCAGAAAGCTCTGTAACTCGTGTCCTAGGAGTAAAGCACCTGGCTCATCCCGAGCTGATTTCTTAGAGGATTTTTTCACAGCCGCTTGTTGAGAGAGGCACTGAAAAGGCTCCTCATCCACTGAGCTGCTTCCCTTCTCCTTTGGTGAGAGAATCAGTTTCATCTTCAAGCCATCGGGCTCTCGAAGGGTCAGTGTCTCTGTGTTCACATAGAGCGGTTTCATTTTTTTTGATTTGTGGGAACCACCATCCTCCAGGGACAGCTCCCCACTGCTTCCACTTACTTTCTTCCTGTGGTGTTCCTTTTTACTCTCTGAATGACTTGAAGAACTAGAGGATTTCTCCCCCGTCTTCTTGGCGGGCTTGGAGCCTGCTGCCAGCGGGGAAGTGATGGCTTTCAACAGGTCCATGGCCGTATCGGCAGACTGCGGGCTGGACTTTTTCTTTTTCTTCTGTGACGACTCCAAAGACGAAAGGTCTGGAAATAATCAAAGAGAGTAATGTCCACACGACAAACCAACTTCCACCAAGTTTCCTCTCTCACCAAAAAAACTCAACTAACAAGAGGAAGAGGCTAAGAGAAATGATTTGAGGGGAGGCCCTTCCACTGATTCCTGATGACGCCCATGTGCTTCTTGGCTCAGTAGATGTTGCCTGACCCTGGACACAGTTCTTGCCACTGAGTTCGCTTCACTGAGTCTTCACAGCAGCCAGAGAGGGGAGACCCAGAAGAACAGACTAAGCTGCGGGATTACGAGCAGTTACAATTTAGGTTACACTGCAGACAGAGTGTCATTTGCTTCCACGTTCAGGACAAGCCCGTTCTAGGAAAGGGTTAGTCTCATCAGCTGTGCGCATAAGAGAGCTAAGAAAAACTGGTCTTCTGAGTGGATAGGCACTGGACTGAGAGGTAACCCACAGGTGCAGGCCAGAGGGCCCAGGACTACATATGGCAAAAGGGATGCTAGGTAACAATGGGCAGAAGATAAGTGGATGATTGGGGGGAGAAGGAACCTGGTACCTGGTGTATCACAAATGAAGACTGTTCTTCTATGCTGAATCCTCCAAAATACCAGCCCTCCACCTCTCTCCTCCTTCACACTGGTTTATCGGCACTCAGAACAAGAACCACTGTCCTGTTAAATAGGCCACTGAGTCAGCAACATCTGGATCCCTCTCCCCTACCCCGACTCCAAGAACCAGTGATGTGCTCATCCCACCTGCTGCCCCTTCCCCTCCTTACCTCCATAGTAGTAATCATCAGAGGAGTGCTTCCTTTTCTTCTTGTGCGTGTCCGTCCCCAAGAAATAAAGCTCACTATCCTGGAATTGAAGAGGAAGAAGAATTGACCACTGAGTAAGATGATGAGGCAACAGCAGTTTGGAGCCAATTTTGTTCTTTGATTTCTGACTTTGGAAAACAAAGTAAAACACAGGAAAACTTAAGAGTAGACAGCGAACGATGTTTCTCTTTTAAAGTTTTAAAAACACGCTTCTTTCTTCAAGTACTAGGAAACAGGACGTGAGATGGTTAAAAACTCTCCTAACTCCTATGTTTAGAATTTACCTTTAATTTCTTCTTGGAAGAATTTCTGACCTGAGCAGCGATTTCTTCCTCTTCCCTTAAAAAATCTTTGTAAGAACGTTTCTTTTCTCGTTGGCTTCGGCCAGCGGCTAGTCCCGTGTCCTCAGAGCTGTGATCACCATCAAAGCAATCTGAAAGCCAGATTCGTTTGGGAAAGGAAAGGAGAAAGGCAAGTAAGTGACAACCAGATCACCACGTATGTAATCCAACAGTCCCTCCATTTCCAAGTTAAAATCACATCTCAAGAAGTCCACTGGAATACTTGGCTAGGATCCAGGGGGACAAGACTATTTCTCGATGACCTGGCTGCAAATACAAGAACCAAACCTGAAGAAACAATGCTGCCACGCTATGCAAGGCCCCGTGCGCGTCCTCAGACATGGTTTCTTAGTTGTGATTTGGCAGGTGGACACAGACTTGCAGAGGTAAGGCTGAAAAGAATAAGGATTCACGTGCTGTGCTGCTCTGTGGGAGTCCAAAACGTGATTCCTATCCCCAGACTCCTGCACACTGGAGCTGGCAAGGACCACGAGTGCTGCAGGGGATCGCCCCAATAGACTACAGAGACTCATATTTCAGACTCTCAGGTTGGAACCCTGTCCTGGTTTTCGCTTCCATGGGCCCAGTCTGGGGGATGATGTGGAGGCTGAGTGTCAGAATACTGCTCTGGATCATCACTTGGGAGTCCAGGCTGTGGTGGCCAGTCCTGGTCTCTATGTCCATGGGCTGCAAGGATTGAAGAGGAAACCCCCTTTGGAATGCTGCTCAGATTAAGGGGTCATACCTTCTTTCTTCACGGAGTCATCATAAGCCATGGCGGTCCTGCAGGGCCTTTGTGAATGTGTCACTGTGTCCAGGCTCCTTCCGGTCTACAGGACCAGGTCTGAGAAACAAAGAAGGAAAACCCTCCTGTAATGTGAAATCACTGTGGAGAAGCAACCTTCCAGATGGAAATGCGTAGTGATCCAAGGGCAGCAAGATATAGGGAGTGTCTTGTCACCTCCTCATTCTGTTTGTAAATATATTGGGGTTGAAACTGCAGGAAGTGGTACTGGGCTTAATTTGATTTGATTTATGAGTTAGAGTTATGATTTGGTGAAGTATATAGAATACTCCCATGTAATAAAAAATAACTCAAAATTAATGAGAATTCCTGAAATGCCAACAGGACTGACAACAGTGAGATGGCAAATACTGACATTAAGTCAGAGGGACAGGTTCAATATGGTGACAAAATGCACAGATAAAGCAGGATGCAGAGGAAGACAGATTACAGCAAACATTCCAGACCATAAAGTCCTACCATGTGGATCGGTGACAGGCTAAAATCTATTGTACTACAGTTTAAACACAAGTGATGATAACATCATAGGGATAGTAAAGACATTTAGAGTGTAATTTTTTGGTATGCGTTTTGTTGGCCTATATGAATTTGCTTAAAACTGTAGACATGTAAAAGCAAGGACGCTTCTTACATTAGTTGGTCACATGACAGCTTTCAAGGCTGTCAGGCCTTTTTTAAAGGTGAAAATAAGAATTATCATTTGTCCATTGGTGGTGAAATTTTTATGATTATTAAGGTTTTCATTGATTTGAAGAATTCTTGTAATTTAAATGTTCTAAATATTATTTTGAAGTTGTTAAAAAAATTTTTTTGGACATTCAAGTTTATATGTCACTTTGACTTTGACAAGCCACAGACTTGTCACAGTCATAGAGTACACAGACTGTACTCTAAGGTAAAGTTCTTTAGGTACTTTAAGGACAGACAATGTCACAAATCCTACAGGAAGTCTTTACAGGAAATTTAAGAATGACATTCTAAATATATTGAAAATGTTCTTATCCGGTTAGTGAAATGCTTACAAGGTGATCAGATTGCTTATTTATTTACATTTTATTTTACCTTCATCACTATATGGGGAATCTAGAAATGCTGAAGGGCTCTTCAGTGAGACATTGCCAGTCCCTTTATGTGGGTATGGTTAATACTGAAGTATGTAACTCTGGTGAAAGAAAATCTGATTAACAAGGGAAACTCTCCTAAGAGTTACATTTAAAATAAATGAAAGGAAAAAAGATTTAATTGCACAAGTCAGATAAAATACAGTACGCAGACATGCCTAAGTTGAACAAACAAAGAGAAAAAGCAATTATCAAGAATGATTTACAAGGAACGTTAAGAAAAGTAACATAAAAAAGCATTTCTCCACTTCCCTAAGAAGGAGAAGGAAGAATGGACTTGGTCAAAGCTAAGAGAATCTAGAGTGAAGCAAAGAAACCAAAGGGATTGAATTATTTTAGTGATAAACCAGAGAACTGCTTGCTCTGAAGGCTTTTCATAGGAAATGAAGGGGATTTAAGGTCAGAGCTCATGTAGAAATATGAGGCAATGTACATCATGTAGCCGGTTTTTCATGCCCCAGCATTCTCAACTTTCTCAAACAGAAATTACTGCCCTCCCTTTTCCACACAAGTGGTGCTGACTCCAAAAGTGGTGAAGGAAGGGAGAATGTCATAGGGAATCATGTGCATTCATTTGAAAATCTTATGCCCTTTCACTGGCACAATATACTGACTTTATTAGAAAAAACGTATATAGGTCCCATTAGTTTTCATAGGCTGATAATGCCAAGAAATGCCACAACTTGAGACCTGAAGTTAAATGTTTTCATGCCAAGTAAATTTTGGCTACGAATGTTTGATAAGGAAATACTCTTAAACATTCAATGTCATAAATATGGCCATTAACCTGTCGTCAACAACAAGAAAATGCACTTCTAAATGAAGCAAAGGCAGGCCCAGAGACTTACAGGCCAGCTTTCTTTTTAGTAACATCAAAACTAATATAAGACAGAGTCGAACAATCTAACAGTCAGAGCAGGAATAAGCATTTCCGAAGACAGTATGAGAAAGAAAGCCATGATGTGACCTCTGAACCACAAAAAAAATGTTCATGGTCTCTTAACTGACTGCTCTGAAAAACCACCAGTGGATTTAAAAGGTTGTGAAAAGGAACAGGAAATCAGGAGTTGATCTTCAGAGGCACAGGCAACACAGAAAACACGTGCTGGTGTGAGCACTATGTATTGGAATTACGCCTGCTGCTGTTGAAATTGTCATTAAAACACTGAAAAGCGTTTTAGAAATTACAGGATTAAATTACCTGTAGAGAAAAAAATGAGCGGGGCCTGAAGGCAAGGCCGGTTCCCTAAAGAACTGGAACAGTCAAGAATTTAAAGAACTGAAATTGAATGCAATGGACTACACCACTCACAGCTTGGGCAGGCTGATGGACCTTGAGTTTTTAGGTTAAAATCAAGATATTATTGCAGCTCAGGGGTTAGTTTTGGTTGCTGACTTATAAAGGAAAGATGAAACCAGATAAAGAAGTCTCAAGCAATAGTTTGGAAGAAAGGCAGAGTTAGGACAACATTTATATTGGATCAAATGACCCCCTGATATTCTTTCCAGGTCTTGAATGGTAAGTTCAGAGTTTATGGTTAGGCAGCGCATTGTGGGATTAACGAAAGTGAAAAATATTAGGTTTGATTTTCACATTAGAAAGCAGAGGCCATAATTATGTTAAATGTTGGCAAAAGTAAAACAGGTATTAAAACCCATTCTCCTGAATTCCATCATTTTGGAGTATATAGAATTCAATGTTGTCAACTTCAAGAGGCAGGGATAGTTTTACGATTATGTTCCTCTTAGTGTGCTAAGAAATGACAACATATGTGAAAATTCATTATTTAATGTTGGGTATGGAGGCCAGAAACATGCCATCACAAAAAACGTGTACTCATGCAATGTGCAAATTGTGGAATGGCTCTTCTGGGACTCTTCTTCGGGATCTGAAAAAGGGGAGGCGGAGCTGCTGTTCCCCGTGTAGAGAAGCATTTTGTTCAGGCACAGCTTTCGGGATTACCAACGTGATGAATGAAAACGCGAAAATCATCAGGCATAGTACTTTCTTATCTTGCAGATCCAAATGATAATTATTGGGGAAAAAAAAGAGTTTCAGAAGGTGATTTGTTTGAGGTAATCTGAGCCCCAGCAATCGCTAACAAGCTTCTTCATTTCGGAATGTAAAAGAATGTTGAAAAAGAGGGAACGTATTAAGCCCCTGATCTGAGCAGTAAGCAAAATCCTGAATTCCGGGTCTAGTCCAGGAATGAGAGCCTTGTTCAAGAGTCGGGGTTCTCTTCCAGCACTCCCTCCACGAACTCCCATCGCCTGGCCATGTAGGAAAAGGAAGGAAGGTGCACATCCAGCTGTTGCCAGTTTCCAAATTGTTGCTGTTACTGTTTACTTCTGGGATAGCGCAGGTGCTGTCCTGTCATTTTTGTAGAGATCTCCTCCAACCTCAGAACACCGCGACTCCGAATTCCTGCCACTTCCTTCTCCAGGAACCTACCTATGCAGCACTCACAGCCCCTGCCAGCTCTGGAAACTGCGGAGATCCCGACAAGCCTGGGACGGGGATAGAATCCTCTCACTGCAAGGCAGCTAAGCGGAACCACGACCACCGCACAGATCGGCTGACAACACACATTTCCAAAAAACCCACCAATACAAATTTTGACAAGCTTTGTCCAATCAACAGGCTTTCCTTTGAGGGTTTTTTTTTTTTTTTTTAAATTTGTTCTGCTATAAGGGAATATAATCAGCCACCTGCTTAACCGGCAAAGAGAGGGGGAGATGGTCCTCCTCTGATGCATAATATAAAGTAAATCTACAAGTAATAGCTGTGGGAGGAAACGGGCCTGTACGGAGATCGCACTACGAAGGCACGTTCCAACTGGGTCGCCCGCAAAAAGGACACACAACACCGGGTTATTTATACAGAGAGCCCCCAGGACCACCACTTGTGCGGTCCTCACGCAAACCAATGGGATTCTCCCGGCCGTTTTGCAGCAACAGCTAGTTCAACAAAGCTCTGTGAAGAGGAAAAGAAGAAAGCTCCTCGCATCCTCTCCAGCCAGCCGAGGGCCCTGCCCTCCCGCCGCACCGGCCCCGTGGCCCTTTCGCCTTGACAGCCCGGGGACCCGGCGCCTCGGGTCCCGAGCCGCACCGCGGCCCCGACCCGGTCCCCGCGTCCCCGGCGGCCTCCCGGCGCCCCCGAGGGCGGAGACGGCCCCGGCAGGGGGAGGGGCGGCCCGTGCCCGCAGGCCCCCGGGGCGGCCGCACGCCCCCTCCCGGCCCCGCAGCTTTCCCGCCTTCCCCATTTGAACAGCTCCCGCCCGCCTTCCTTCGGCGGCCCGCTCCAGCCCCTTCCCGGGGGCGGACTGCGGCCGCTACTCCAGTCCCCGGCTCGGCCTCTGGGCTAGGCCGCACCGGGCCTGAAGCGCCCCAGCGGCGGTGTCGCGGGCCCAAGCGGCGGGTGGAGGCGGGGCGGGGCCGCTGCCGCCTCGGGGAGGGGGCCCAGGCCGGCCTCGTGGGGGCTCCGCTCGCCGCTACCTTCACTCGGCTCGCCCGGATCCCGCCTCAGCGCCGCCGACCGCCGCCATCTTGGAGAAGGAGAGAAAAGCGCGAGCGGCCAGGGAGCCTCAGTCGAGCCCAGAGCGCAGGCTCCGGCTGGGGTAGGGGAATCCCGCTCCTGACAGAGTGCCGAGCGCATCGAAAGAAGCGCGCCGCTGGCTGAGCCAGGGAACCCGAGTTGACTGAGAATTTTCGGTGCGGCCAGGCTTGGGCTGGAAGCTTTCTGAACATTATATCGTTTAATCCTCACGGCATCCCTGTGAGTTAGGTTTGGTCACATTTTGCAGATGAGAAACAGGCTCAGAGAGGTTAAGTGACTTGCCCAACCGCACACAGGTAGTCTTCTGATTCTTAATGAATGCTCTTTCCACAAGACTATGCCGTTTCCTTCGGGATATTTTTGTACGTAAATTCTCTTTCTGCGAAACCTAGATCATGCAGATTAATAGCAGCGATGCTTGTTTGGAATTTGGCATTTATGTTTGGGTGGTTGGCATATTTCGGGTGAGGTGGAAGGACATATTTTTCTAACAACGCATCATAAAATAACTTCCATGGCGAATCCTCTGCATTTCTCCTCACAAATTATTTGCATTTAAAAGTTGGAAACTGTTTTCAGGCAAATGAAGAGATGCCACACACAGGAGAAAGAGGGGTTTTTGTGATTGGCTCTGGAAATTACTATGCGAAGATCCTGGTTCTCTGTGAAGACAAACTTATTCTTCTAGAGCAGTTCATTCTTCTTTGGCTACTTTGTAAGGTAGCGAGATCCCCATTGCCAAAGGAATTCAAGAAGAGGCTAGTGCCTTAGTTATTGGAATGGAGAGGTTGGAGATCTAGAGGTTCCTAGCATTATGAACCCCATGAAACTGTGCAAAATTAGGGGTTTGGGCACATGGGTGTTTTTCTGGGGTTTAGAGCCTATCAAAGATTAGGAATCCCTATC